TAGTAGGAACTTCATAATCGCAGATTCAACTATGGTAACGCCGTTGAACAATACTGGTGTCAGACGCCTTCGAATATCACTCGCACTAATGGTACTTGCTCGATAATACTCGCTCGAATAGTAACCACTGAACAGTGATCTGAATAGAGAACTAGTATAGTGAATAGAGAATAGCGGTCCATATAGTGATAGATTAGAAGAAGCGATCGTTAGTCGTCAGCCTTTCCTCTGTGGTCACGTGATGCACTTAATCCAGTAATGGGATCGCCTGTGTTTATTCTCTGGCGATCTATGTTCAAGCTCAACTGTGGTTAGCGACACTTTATTCCTATATAACAATAATGAAAATTCTTCATCTAAGAAATTCTATTTACAATTATTACGCTATTAATACGAGATGGGAACAAACAGTATAGCGTCGTGATAATCGGATTATCTATATGAAGATGACTATAGGATTAAATTTGAATTTCCCTGCTCTGGTATTACATCTGCTTTTAATAGATATAAACAAACAACAAAAATAAGATGAATGAAAAACTGGTCAAAAATAAATAATGACAATGCTAAGAAATCATCTAAGAAATTCGTACGACATAAGACTATGAAAAAAAGACGAAGATAAGATTAATGGCTGATACATTTGTTCCTGAAAAAGTACCTCATTAAAAAGGTTAATCTCGTTAAAACTGAAAGAATGACTGATTCTTTGAAAAAGATTTTGTAAGGTGACAAAAGCTTTGAAAATGAAATGTTCGACTCATAAAAGCTGAGAAAACAAGAAGAAGCATATAGCCCCCCACCCCCCACTGAAGTCACCAACTAGATAAACATTTCCTCGCCTCCCCTATTCATCAGTGTTTCTTATCTAAGACATATTCATTTCTCTTAACCCTGTTTAAGTACCACTTTTTATTATGGTTTTCTTTGCTGGAGTCCTTGTGATCTGGGATCGATGTGTGGTATCTGCTTTAGTCAGTCTTATTTTCGGAGATATATATATATATATATATATATATATATATATATATATATATATATATATATATATATATATATATATATATATATATATTCTGTAGTTTACTGCTACCAGAAAGCAGAAATATTTCTCCTCCCGATTATGGCCATTTTGGCCAAAACTAGTCGAGGAATCTAAATGAAAAAAAATAAAAAAAAAAACGAAAGAATATCAATCTACAACCCAGTGTGTCTGAAGATTTTAATTTTTAATATTTTTTTATTGTTCAATATATATATATATATATATATATATATATATTAGGTTAATGCAAAAATAATGTCGTTTTTGACGTTCAACTAAACGTCAAAAAACGACATTATTTTGCACCAACCTAATATATATATATATATATATATATATATATATATATGTATATATATATATATAAACGTCACAAAATTATTCAGTCTGAACAACTACAACAGAAAACCTACAACCCAGTGATTTTTTCCCATTATCTGAGCTTCGTGAGTCTTGTTAAAAAAGGTTTGAGATTTAAAAGCTGGAGCGGGGAGAGAAAGACACTCCAGAATCCATCCTTAAACGTAATTTGGCAGAACTAAAGGCTTTCTAAGCACCAATAATAGAGAAGCTATTTGCTGTTACCTCTTGGACGTGTAAGTCATTTAAGGTGTATTGATTTACCCAAGTGTCCATTCAATCACTCTATCAATTATCGTTGCATCCCAGTGACGAGAAATGTTTGAAGATATCTAGCGAATGCATGGAGAATTGGGTTCATGACATTTTCAAAGTGAACATGAGTTTTCCCTGTCGTTACTTTTCAGCCTTCATAGAATTCAAAATCATCACCTTGTAGGTAATGAGTTATTACCCTCGCCTACAAAAAAAACCCCTTTCCCATAGACAAAATGTCGCAGACCTCTCGTTACTCTATAACTACTTCTATGAAAAATGTTCTTACGAGCTACTTTCATTAGTTTCGTAAGTTCAGACACTCAAAGATAAGACCCGCCATTCTACGAACGCTGGTACAAGCCATCCCCATTCCATTGGTAAGGAGGAAGTTCCTTTCGGGCAACTTCTTCCCGAGAAACGCAGCTTTGTGGAAAAGACAGCGGACAGGGTGCTTCGTCTTGCGCAAGAATCTTCACCTCTTCACGTCGAGGGTCACCTGTTATCATTCCAGCATATCCTCATGATCTGCTCTTCTTCTTCCCTCTTGTTATGAATAATCAAGAGTGGTCTCCCCTTGTTTTGGTACTATCCTCTTAGAGAGAGCTATTTCAGTTTACTGGGACTATAAAAGGACACTATATTCAAACCTTGTATTCTCATTTGAATAAAGCTTTCTTAAAGCCTACACCTGCGTACTTTTGCCATTACAGTTAGTTTACATAATTTATGAGTAAAAAGTTGTTTTTATATTTATTTCTTCTTAAGTCCACTTAATGTTATTTCTCTTTCTATTACTGCGGGGGTTGGGATGGGAATCTTTTAAACCTTTTGTTTTAGTGTTATAAATAATCAAGAGTGGTCTCCCCTTGTTTTGCTACTCTCCACTTTTGAGAGAGCTATTTCTGTTTACTGGGACTATAGAAGAACAGTATACGCGAACCTTGCATTTTCCGTTGAATAAAGCTTTCTTAAAGCCTACACCTGCGTACTTTTGTCATTACACCTCCTTCTCTTACGTTTATGCAACAATCTCATTCAGTAACAACTCTATCTTCAGTGGCCCTTGGTCCTTGTATTTGGTGAACAATTAGTAAAAAGAAAAAAAAAGAAAACTTTGTTCGGAATTTGAAATGTGTTGATTTCGTTCTTGTTGACAATCGTTCTGCAGACGGAAGTTGCATCCACTGAGTTGGTTTTGTCGGCGATTTTTCTTGGTTATCAATTTTCTTTTTAGATTACATTAGAATAATCACAATGGTAATTGTGAAATTAATAGTTCCCTTCAAGGAAAATCTCGTCATTCATTGACTGAACAGTAACAGTTAGTTTAAACAGAATTTTATCTAATTTTTTTATTAAAAGAGATTTTCACGGAATTAGACATTTTTAAGCCCATTGTTATTTCTCATTCTGTTACTGTTGTGGTTGGGACCGGAGTCTATCAAACCTTTTGTTTTAGTGTTATAAATAATCAAGAGTGGTCTCCCCTTGTTTTAGTACTCTCCACTTTTGAGAGAGCTATGTCTGTTTACTGGGACTATAGAAGAACAGTTTACGCGAACCTTGCATTTTCAATTGAATAAAGCTTTCTTAAAACCTGTACCTGCGTACTTTTGTCATTACAGTTAGTATAAGACGTTAACATTTTTGATTATATCATTATCTTTCCTTCTAGTTACATGTGCTATAGATTTTACTGTGTGAAGTATTCGAATGATGTTTTTATTATTTGGCATAGCTCTTTGCGATTTTGTAGCACCAGTCTATAAGGCATGATGGAAGATTATCTTTTGTAAGACTTAAATGAATCATTCACTTGAAACGAATAATAGTTGAAAAGGCTTCATCTAATCAAAATTCCAGATAATATTACAACTGTAAATATTATGAGTGCAAATAAAGAAATTGAAATAAAGATGAAAGAAATCCTAGTAAAAAAATGAAGAATGCTTGACAATGCTTCATCTACTCAAAATTCCAGATAATATTACTACTACTAATACTACTAGTGGAAATAAAGCAATTGAAATGAAGATGAAAGAAATCTTAATCAAAAATGAATAATGCTTAATAACGTTTCATCTAATCAAAATTCCAGATATTACTACTACTAATACTACTAGTGGTAAAAAAAAGTAATTGAAATGAAGATGAAAGAAATCCTAGTCTAAAATGAATAATGCTTTATCTGATCAAAATTCCTGATAATGCGTTTTCTATCTATCTATCTATCTATCTATCTATCTATCTTTTTTCTTTCTTTCTTGATTTTTCTCTTTAACACACACACACACACACACACACACACACACACACACACACACACACACACACACACACACACACACACACACACAAATACATGGAATATTTCTTTTTCTATCAACTGTCTTTACCATTTTACATACAAACAACACCGGGAATCACTAAGATTATCTCTGCACCGTTTGTAGGAACAAGAGTCAAATCGTAATCTCAAACCGCCCGACGCTCATTGACCTTCATTTTTGCAACGTTAAACACAACTGTGTCGACATCCAGTCGAGGGGGCTCACAGTTGGCATGAACCAACTTCACCAGAGGCGGCTACGATATCATTCCATGGGGTGCATACAGAAACTAGGCGAATAAGTGGGGTTCAGAGGTTAACCTTTGAAGTGCTATGATTGGCCGCCAAGGAAGAGGAGACCTTGCAGCAACCGTGTGCAGCGGTAAATTATCCATTTGGCCCTACCCGGCTCTTTAATGATTCCTCCTTAAAGCCCACCCAACCGAGATTTTAGGCGGGCCACCCATCTGGGTTTGCATGAACTCACACCCTATTTTTTGTTTCTGCTTCAGTGAAGCGTGTCCAGTAAAGAAAATGTTACTTCAAATAAGGGTTTATGATCTTCGACAGATGGGAAAACGAAATATTGACGACGGGGTGTAGAATGGTATCACGAAAAAAGAAGGAAGAGTACAAGGAAGGAAGGAAGAGTACAAGGAAGGAAGGAAGGAAACAGAAGAAATTGGAGGAGAAAACAAGACGGCAACATAAAAAGAGAAACAAAATGTGTGAAAGAAGATGAGTGAGAAAATGTAGTCATTCGTAACAAAGGGTACTTCACTCAAAAGCAATAGATTTTAGTAAAATATTAAATGAACGCTTCAAAAACGTTACCTTGTACGGGATTTGGGGTTACATATGTATACAAGTATCCTAGTGCGGACAGTTTAGAATTAAAATGAAGAAAAAAATTAAGGCAAAAAACTGGATAGAGAAAAATAAAACTAAGAAAGAAAGAACGAAGGAAATTCAAATCAAAAGAAAGAACCTCAAATAAACAAAGAACGTTTAAGTAAGAAAGAAAGAAAGAAAGAAAGAAAGAAAGAAAGAAAGAAAGAAAGGACCTCGAATAAACAAAGAACGTTTAAGAAAGAAAGAAAGAAAGAAAGAAAGAAAGAACCTCGAATAAACAAAGAACGTTTAAGTAAGAAAAAAAGTAAGAAAGAAAGAAAGAACCTCTAATAAACAAAGAGCGTTTAAGTAAGAAAGAAAGAAAGAAAGAAAGAACCGCGAATAAACAAAGAACGTTTAAGCAAGAAAGAAAGAAAGAAAGAACCTCGAATAAACAAAGAGCGTTTAAGTAAAAAAGAAAGAAAGAAAGAACCTCGAATAAACAAAGAGCGTTTAAGTAAAAAAGAAAGAAAGAAAGAAAAAAAGAAAGAAACATGAAACTAAAAGAATGCCAGAAAATAAAAAAAAAGAAAGAAAATGAAAGAAGTTCAATTTAAAAGAAAGAAAGAAAGAAAGGAAAAACCGAAAAGATTGAAAAAAGAAAGAAAGATTGATTTGTTATTTTTATGAAAATATTTTATGTTTTATTTACGGCTTATCAACCATATCTGGGTTCTTTAAAGCCGGAATATATTTTGTATTGCAAGAATTTTTTTTCTGCGAGTGAATATTCTATTATTAATCTTTGAGAATAACAATGATTTGTTTCGGATACATGTCCTACTGTTTGAACCATAGCTGGAGGATGCGATGTATTCAAACCTTTCCCGAGCGTATTTGCGCGTAAGTGAAAATAACACTACCAGAATTCGAAATAGCTCTCGAATTTCTCATTACGATCTTTATCCATTACACCAACCGCACATCCTTAAAAGAAAGAAAAAACCTAAGAAAAATAAAAGATGTTCAATTTGAAAGAAAGAAAGAAAGAAAGAAAGAAAGAATCTCGAATAAACAAAGAGTGTTTAAGAAAGAAAGAAAGAAAGAAAGAAAGAAAGAAAGAAAGAAAGAAAGAAAGATATATGCAGATCGTCCCAGTGAAAAGAAAGAAAGAAAATGAAAGAATCTGGATTTCAAAAAAATAGAAAGAGCTAGAATGGATGAAGGAGGATTAAGTGAAAAGAAAAAAAAAGCAAGTGGAATATAGAAATCTAAGACGAAAGAGTTGGGAATTAGCAGACATAAAGTGACATACAGACAGACAGAAATGAAAAAGAACAGGCGAAAGAAGATTAGAGAATTGTACAAACAGTGCAAATGTAAACAAAATAACACATGCTGTTTGCAAAAAATCGGCTTGGAATATATTTAGCCTCATATTACAGAGCGAAATTACATTTGCCTGCCTGCTTGCTCTGGCGTAGCCGAAAGTGGGGTCCTAAAAGAACAAATGGCATTTGAAGGTCACCAATTATTCGACATGGAGTTTATAAAATACTCAATTAGGGAAACTTGAGAGTGAAAGAAAGAAAGAAAGAAAGAAAGAGAGAAAGAAAGAAGGAGAAAGAAAGAAAGGAAGAAAGAAAAAAGACAAAAAAGAAAGAACGGATAAACAAAGCTCGTTCAAGTTAAAAGAAAGAAAAAATAAAACGGGAAGAAAGTCAGAAAATTCAAGTAAAAGAAAGAAAGAAAGAAAGAAAGAAAGAAAGAAAGAAAGAAAGAAAGAACATCGGCTAAATAAAGTTCGAAGGAAATGAAGAGAAAGAAAGAAATGAAGAGAAAGAAAGAAAGAAAGAAAGAAAGAAAGAAAGAAAGAAAGAAAGAAAGAAAGAAAGAAAGAAAGAAAAAGAAAAGAAAGAAAGATCGAGAGAATTGACCAAAGAATAAATACAGTAAAGAGGCAAGGAAAGATTGGAAACTTAGGTAAAAAAGGGTGGGGGTCTGGATTGTGTAAACAGATACGATATTAAAAGGGATCAAATATTTAAATTTGAACAAATAAGTAAGTAGGTTAGTAGTGCAATCTAAAATTCTCCTTGTTCGTCAAAAACAATACATTTATAACACATTTATATAGACATTTATATGTCTACCATTTGTTCATGCTTTGAATATTGCTGCCAAATTTGGTCTGGTGTTTCCGCTATGTATTCGAAAATTCTTGATATAATAAATAGAAGAGTCTGTTTAGAATAACTGGCCATAGTAAAATACAATTGAGAGAAATGCCCAACCAAAACAGTTGACAAAGTCTGCAATAAACAATAGCAAGAGAAAAAAACAAGAACAGGGTAAAAATAATATTAAGCAAACAATATATGCCAGGCAAATGTGGACAAAAAGTTCACAAATTAAGAATGGTTTAAACAGAAAAAATGTATATGGTTTTGCAGTCATCTCAACAAAGAGTGGAATCAACGATCTGCAATGTTATTGGTTCTGAGGAACCATGATCGCACACGTCCTGAAAGGACACGATCCCCCCCAAAGAAAGAAAAAATGTTTACCCAGACACCATAAACTATACGGCAGGGCTTCAGACCAACTTTTTTAACCATCGTCCCGAAATTGTTATTTTGTATATTCTAACCAACATTTTTGTGGTTTTTTTTTTTTTTTTTTTTGAGAGCCTTTTCTTTAAAAAATGTATATTTAACGTTACGTTGGTGACACATTTCCATCAACGACGTCACGACTTTTCACACCAAAGTCAATTCCTTTCATCCATCCTTGCAATTTACTATGAAAATGGAGAGCGATTGTACTTTGCCTTTCTTGGACGTTCTTGTTGAGCATGAAGATGGTTTGTTTATCATGAGCATTTATCCCAAACCTACGTTTATCGGTTTGTATACTAATTGAAATTCCTATGTTCCTAAGCCCCATAAAATTAACCTGATGTCTACTTTAGTCCATCGTGTGTTGATGATTTCTTCTCCCTGTACCCTTAACCATGAACTTGAGAAAATTCATTGTATTTTTATTGACAATGGTTTTCCAATTAAAGTCATCAAACGCACTAATTAAAATTAAACGTTTCAACGAACCGATAGTCTTTGGTCCCTCTCTATGTCCGATTTATTTAAAACTACCGACAGGGTGTCAGCGTGCATTGCATCAGGTTTCTCGACTGTCAGGTTGCATGTTATTTTAGAGATCTGTTCGGTGTTGCCTTCATTTGTCAAAGACGGTCTGTCCTACTTATAAAATAATTCCGTAGAAGTTTAAATGTCAGTGCGTTGCTGAATACTTAGGACGGACCAATCAGAGAATAGAGCCCCGAATCGGCCATGTTCCTGCTATTATAAGAGCAGTCAATCTCAGTCACTCTTCCAGGCTAACCTAGTCGATACATGACTCAACAATAGGTCAGCACCTGTTAGACAACTCTGATTGTGCTGATAAGTAAAAGAAAGATTATTTCACTATTCGACACAGAGCCAGATCCACTCATCATTTAAAGAATCTCGAAGCGGATGATATTAAGATGCACTAAATAGGCCTGTGTAAGCAAAAAAGAGTATTTTATCCACTCATTGCGTTTAGTTGGAGGGTGTGGGTAACATTTTTCTATTTTAGTACTCACTAGCGATATTTACTTTTTTTTTATTCGTGAATTATTTTACTAATAAATTGTTTTTAGTCGAGTTCCGCCTCATTTACTGTTTTGCTTTTTATGAATATCGACTTTTGTATCGTCTCATTTATACCAATGGATTCCTTCTTCTGAAGTGATGGTTGCAAGAATTCTAAAGGAAATATAAGGAAAATCTCTACGTGCTTTTTCAAGTCATTATATTTGTTCTGTGATACCAAGCCTTTGATCATATATATATATATATATATATATATATATATATATATATATATATATATAAGTTACGAAGAACTTGGTAAAACCGAATGGTAATTCCAAGGAGGATGAAACCTGAGAGCTCAATGTGAATTGTTACCATTACAATAATTGATTTCATTAAAATCCTTTTAAGGAGTCCGGATCATTGTTACCTGATGATCCGGAGTCCTTTAAAAGGATTTTGGTGAAATAAATTATTGTAATGGTACCTTAAAGTGGTCTGTTTTTCATTACATATATATAATTGAGTAATTCATCGAGCCTGAAAGAAACCTCACCAGAATGCAGAAAGCACTAGACGGCCGTTACGTCCTATATTTGGAACTCATCAGCTGTGCGCATCCACTACCGAGAATTGAAACCCGGACAGTTAGGTCATCAAGCAAACGTCATACCAACTGTTCCAACGGGCCTCGGTGGCGGAGAGGTGGCAAATCAGACTCAATAAAGCTCCGCTCGCTCACATATTCCGTGGTGGAACTCAACTGAGATTCTCTCTAACCATAAGACTGTGCCCCCAGGAAAAATTGGTCAAGCACAACACAGTGAAGCAACTTTCCTAGCAGCAGGTGAAAACAAATGCATGTACGCCGCTCACAGAGTCACATTTTTCCTACAACCGGCAACCAATCTAATTAGCATAACAGCTTCGAATTTTTTCCCTCAATAAGTGTCTTGGATTGTATTTCATTTCATAAGCAGTAACATATTTTACGTACTATTACAATAAATCCTTCATAACAAAAACTTGACACACGTTTCTTTTCCTTTAAAAAAAATTCTATTTATTCTATATTAACATTCCACATTTTTTTTTTTTTGGTTTAAAATATTTCTGTCTTCTCCCCCAGCAAAATTAAAAGGTAAAAGTTACTTTTTTTTTTTTTTGCAATACATGATTATTAAAAATTGTTTCTGTACTTAATTATTTTCCAAAAATGCCACGCCAACTCTAGCAAGCCACCCTGCTTCCCTCCGTATTACATTGCTAGGAAGTAAGTTCCACTCAAACAGCTTCTTCCCACGAACCGCTGCTTTGTGGAACTGACTCCCACGAGCATGCTTTCCCGATCTCTACAATCAACCCGGTTGTTTTCTCCACATATCTGCGTAAACTGTGCCTCTTACTCTGTAACCTATCTCGAGCGACTCTCGAGGCTTTTACAGTTAAATCACGTGTCAGTTTGCTTTTCAAGTTTGAAGAGAAATGATAACGTTACTTTTGGCATACCATTAAAATTACTGAGTTTGTTAAGTTACAATAAAGGACATAACAAAGAAAAGAGTACTGAACTGCTACGTAATATCTATCCTCTTTTACGAAAGCCAATGTTGGACGGTCTCCTCACAGATGAAGAAGAGACTCAAGGCAACGGACGTATAGTTCTACAGAAGGATGCTAATTATATCACGGACCGAACATGTGAGCAACGATGGGGTTTTGGAGAGGTTGCAAACAAGGAAGAAGCTTATGCTTAACATCAGGAAGAGGCTAAAATTTCTGGGACACGTAATGAGAAAAGAAGGCTTGGAGAATCTGATACGTACAGGGCGGATAGAGGGAAAGAGAGACTAAGGAAAGCAACGCGGATGACAGAAATGGATGACAGAACTTGGCCTGGGAGAAGTAGCAAAGGGAAAAAACATATTGAGAACTTACAAGTGATGGGATGATGTGGAGAGCCATAATCGCCTACGTTTTGAAGGGACACGGCACATAAAAGAATAAGTGAAAAAATATATAAATAGTCATTTTTATTTAATTCCAGTAGATACAATAATAAAAATGGCATTGTATTTTACCTTAGTAAATGATATCTAAATTTTTGAAATTATACTTATTCTGGTTTTTAAAAGCCTTTAGCAACTTTTTATCATGTTTTATTTTTCTGCAGCGTCTACATAATTATTTTTCAAGTTCTTTCATTTAATCACCACAAAAAAAACCTTTTCTGCCTGCCATCAACATGGCTGATGGTAAACTCCAAGAGACTAACACTTTACGCCTTCTAATCCTCACACTGATATGAAGTGGAGCGACTATATTAAATCAATCTACTGCAAGGAAGATGGTAAGCTGTGTCGAGCCAGAAGACTTTTCTCGTCAGAGTCCATCTTAGACATTTATAAACCTACCATTCACCCGTGCATTGAATACTGTTACTATATCTGAACTGGTGTTTCTGCTTTACATCTCGAGATTCTTACCAAAATCTAAAGGGTCTGTCATGTAATCGATCCTAACCAGGCATCTTGCCTTCAGTCACATTCTCACCGACATGACGCGGCTTTCCTCTGTCTTTTCTATAAATATTTTCATGGCAACTGCTCTAACGAGCTTTTTTTCCCTGTTGTCCTGTCTACATGAATTTAAGCGTGCTACTAGATTGGCAACTAAATCCCACCGTTTTACTGTTGAACTAGCTAGACGCAACCGCCATTTCTACTTTAATCGTTTCTTTTTTCACCCTTCCTACCTGTGGAATTCCCTTCCGATTAGTATCCCTGATAAGGATGAGGAGTGATGGTAACTCTTCGATAAAGTTTATTGTTTTGGAAAGCGATGTTTAGAATTTTGATAAAATATAAACATATATAAAGTATAAAATATAAACACATGAAAGTGAATTTATTTCAATTTTTTCTTGAGAATTGACAGCAAAAATAATAAACACTATTTTTTTATTAGATTGTTTATTTGAATGATTGATGAAACAGCAACTAATTGCCAATCAATTCAAACTTTATAAAATGGTAAATAAGAAGAATTCCTTATAGATGGTTCCCATATTTTAATAATTTACTAAATGTTTATAAATTTATGAATAAAAAAGGCACACACACACACACACACACACACACACACACATATATATATATATATATATATATATATCTATTACGATAAACGTGCAATCAATTTACAAATACATGAATTATTCACACAAAAATAATGCAAAGGTTAATGCTTTAATTGGCGAGACATCCATCATCGCAAACAATTCAAATAGTATACAAAAACCTCCAGATTTTAAATTTTTAAAGTGTTTGCGTTTATACCAAATATGGTGATGAACAAATTATTTTACTGGTAAATTTTTCTGTCACTTTAAAAAAAATTTAAAATCAAACTCAGCGTTGCTTTGGCGCGTTCCAAAACCATTAACTCATTTTCAGTAGCATTTTCGGATACAACAACACATATATTTTCGTTGTCCTCTTATTACTAAGAGAAAAAACCAAGAACAACATCTATTCTATACCTGAAGATGTCTGTAGGAACAGACGAAAGCTTGTAGTAAAAATAACAACTAATACGGCAGAAATTTATATAAACAAGGATCAATTCATTCATAACGGATCTGGAGGTTTTTGTATACTATTTGAATTGTTTGCGATGATGGATGTCTCACCATTTAAAGCATTAACCTTTGCATTAGTTTTGTGTGAATAATTCATGTATATATATATATATATATATATATATATATATATATATATATATATATGCGTGTGTGTGTGTGTGATTCCAGAATCATTTTCCAACTTATTCAAGATGATCTTTGCTCTCTCTAACCTTCTAACCTTCTGTCCTGGAGTAACAAAGTGTCTCCCAGGTTTCACGTACGATTACATTTTCAGGCCTTTTTTCACTGCTCTTTGGACTGTCATAGCTGAAACTCCTCTCTTATGTGCCAAAAG